TTATTAAAGTAGTAAGATACAGTTTCGTAAGTCTTACGTTGCACAGTATCAAGTCTGAGTAAAGAATTGTTCAGGATCCAGTAGGCTTTCTTGTTTTGGGAGTTACTTTCAGATAATGTAATAGTAATGTGGATTGCTTTATGGTCAGTGAGGGGAGAAGGGAGGATATCAATATTAACATCTTCTGTGGTTAGACAATCAGACACCAGCCAGTAGTCGAGTCGAGACTGCTTTGAGCCACTATTATTGCTCCATGTAAAGACCGACTCTGTTTGGAATTTCTCTCTCCAGAAGTCTTTAAGGCTAAATCGTCGCATAAACTGAACTAAAGGATTATTGCTACTATTGGTCTGTGGTGGCCATCTATCTAATTCATTATTCAATACCATATTAAAATCTCCTCCTATTATTAATATTGCATTAGGGAACTGATTTAATACATCAATTATATGATTTTCTAAAGTAGATAGGAGTTGATAGTTTTCACGTTTTGAATTATATCCATAAATATTAATAATAATAAAGGTTTTATTTTGATAAGCCAATACCATGAATACAAAGTGTCCCTGGTTGTCAAATTTGTGTGAAAGGATATCACCTTCAAATTTGTGTTTTACTGTAAGAGTACCAGCTGAATGCTGGGTTCCGTGTGAAGGAAATACATTATCACCCCATTGAGATGTCCAAAAATTAGTGTCAAGAGAAGTGGAATGGGATTCTTGAAAAAAGAAAAAGTCTGTATTCAATTTTTTGGCAAATAGAAATAATGCCTTACGTTTTGTGGCATTTTTTAACCCCCTGGCATTCAAAGAAGCTAAACATAAGGACATGAAAAAAGAAAGAACAAAGAACAAAAACCTGAGTAGATAAGTGCTTGCGCTGTGTTGCTTCAATCCATGCGCCAATATAATTAATAAAATGGAAAAAACTAAAACATAAAATGAGTCGGTTTAATGCCAACTTAGGTTTCAAGTATAAAACATGTTCAAAATGAACTTTTTGCTGCCTGCCATATTGGATATAAGCTTATTGTAACAATATAGAACAAAAAACTCGGACCACAATACAAATACCTGAACAATAAATGGTCAATCTTCTGCAAAAGTGCATATTGTATACGTTTGTTTAAATCAGTTCCCAGGAAGGCTGACTTCTTTGCCGCTGATGTAAGCGCGGGGACCCACGTAGTAGGCGATTTTCCCCTCTCGTCTGGCCGCCTGGATCACCGGCTACAACGCTGCTCTTCTCTCGCGGTCCGCTGGACACAGATCTTCCGTGAAGTAAAGATGGCGCTCCTTCAGGAAAGAGTTGTTTTTCGCGGCTTTCCACACTGCATCTCGGTAAGTTCTGGACGAGAACCGTAGAATGATTCCTCTCGGTTTGTTCTCATTCTCCCTCATTTTCCCTAAGCGGTGTACTATATCAATCACGTCTGGAAGCTTTTGTTTACCCTCAGGGAAAATACTCTGGCAAATTCGGATGGTTTCTTTCTTTACCTCTTCTTTAATCACAGTCTCTGGTACCCCGTAAAGTTTCAGATTCCAGCGTCTGGAGTAGCGTTCAGATTCAACAAGTCGTTCTTGTAGCTGGAGGATAGTGGTGCCATCTTTGCGTGTGTTACTTTCAATCACATCAACTCTTTGTTTTACGTCTTTAATTTGATCAAAGGCAAAGTCAACGGACTTCTTAAGACCCTCAATACTGACGGTGTTAGCATTGATCAGTTTTTCCAAGTCATCAAAACGGGTGTTAATCAGATTTGATAGTATACCAATCACATCTTGGTCACCGCCATAGCCTCTTTTTCCGTCATCTCCAGGAGTTGCTAGCAGTGCTTTTTTAGGAGCTGGTTCTTTGCAAGGGGTCCCTTCGACTGAAAGAGGCAGAGGTGGGAATTATTCTTCTCCGAGGATCATGTCTTTGTCGTCGGGTATTTTGACATAATCATGTTCCGCGCTGGTTGTGGTGGTGCAGTTGGTAGTGTCATCCATAACAGTAGTAGTAGCCAGTTTTTTTTTTCTCTTTAGAGGTTATTTTTCTATCCCTCGAAAACATTGGATCGTCAGAGAGTGTTCCGGCAGTTGATGAGCAGTAAAGAACTAAGTGTGGCGTGCAATAAAGTGTTTTTCCCCAAAAATATGCAAGTTTGGCGCAACCGGTTGAAAAGGAGCGTCCGCTCAAGCCGCCATCTTGGCCCCTCCCAAGCTGCTACGAGTTGACGCAGCAGGTTGACGCGACGTGACGTGATGTGAGTGACAGAACAGTTGTCCAATCACACTACACTAAATAAACAGAGACTGTGATATCATTGGTCTGGGCGCTAAAGTTTGTGCCCTCAGTCCAAAGTGAAATGCGCCAATCAAAATCATTTTAAAATAGTAATAATAACGGCCTGTGCTGGGGGGGTGGGGCACCAGTGGCCGCTAGGGGGGGCACGGCCGTCAAATGCCCCACCTTGCCTCCAACAACGCCTGTCACGGCCACAGGCATTGGCGTAGAGAGCTCAAATTCAAATCACAATTGCATATTTCAGGCCTGAATGTAATGAAATATGAAATCTAATAAAAGCGAACTCTATAGTGCCCCCTAGCATAGACATGAAATGTCTATGAAATTCGGAGATTAAATTCTATGCATGATTACAAGCAAAAAAGTCTATTACGGACATGAGGCATTTTCACGGTTGGCCAGCAGGGGCGCAAGGACTCCCCCCAAAAAAGTAAAAAAATAATTGCGCCCATAGGCTTAGTCCGATCATGCTGAAATTTCAATCATTGAGTGCATTTACATGCACATCAGTGTCCCGGTTATGATCGAGTTTTTTGAGTATCCCGGTTTCTTCATGGTGCATGTATATGCAGTACCGGTTTCAGTATCCCAATTATGGCAGTATTCCGGATATTAGAAACCGGGATACTGTGGCATTACATGCACATTTAATTCGCACAGAATCTCTGCACCCCTTATTGCTCCTCTCCCCGCTCTCCGTTTCGCTCTTCTCCCTGCCCCTCACTTCTTTTCTGCGCATGGAATCTCCGCGCACCGCTCCCCTCTCCTCTCTCCTTTCCCCGTTCCATTCTTCTCCCTGCTCTTCACTTGTTCTCCGTGCACGGAATCTCCGCGCACTGCTCCCCTCTCCTCTCTCCGCTCCCTGTTCCGTTCTTCTCCCTGCTCCTCACTTTTCCGCGCACAAACTCTCCACGCACCCCCCCCCCCCCCCCGCTCCTCACTTCTCCACCTTGCCTAACCAACACTGTAGTCAGTTGTTTACAAGTCATGTGCAGTGATGAGTACTTTCTGGCGTAAGGGGGAGGCGGGAGGAAGCATTTCTAGGTAGGGAGCTGTGGGGGAGGGGAGTGGTTTCACGCATGCGCAACATTTGAAAAAGGACAAACAGTCGCTGGATTTCTCGTTCCTTGGAAAATCCCCTATACAACCTTTAAGTTTAGTTTCTGTAAAACATAAAGAAATGTGATCAAAGCTGAATTATCAAACGGGCTGATGTGGCTCTACAGTGGTTCTGGTTTATATGTTGTAAAGTTGAGTTTATTTATGCAGAAGATTTTAATGAAGAATCTGTTGGGTTTGATGTCTGCAGTGGATTGTGGGATATCTCATAGCTCCTTACCGCTGGTTAAACCTCCCGAGCTTCCTATGCTAAAGGAGCTCATGGTTTGTATTTTTCTTGGTTTATGAAATTGATTTAAGTTAATTTTTGCGCTTGTGCATTTGTAAGATTATGTCAAGAAACCGGGTTACTCCATTTGATCATGTATACCGGGATATGAGTATACCAGTATGACTGGTTTCTCAGTGCGCATGTAGTATACGCATTAACCCGAATACTGACATAAGCGGGATATGGCTAATAACCGGGATACTGATGTGCATGTATACGCACTCACCAATACCTAATCATGGTCTGAATATAATACACTGTAAAACATATGAAAAGTGAACTCTATAGTGCCCCCTACCATAGACATGAAATGTCAACATTATCAGATTTGGACCAAATTCGGGGATTAAATTCTATGCATGGTTATGAGCAAGAAATATTATAAATATTATGGACTATGGATTATTAAATATTATGGACATGGGGCATTTTTCACGGTTGGCCAACAGGGGTGCAAAGAATCCCCTAAAAGTATTGTAAAAATTATTATACCCACATGTTTAGTCCAATCATGCTGAAATTTCTATCAGTTATACACTGCATGACCCTGATTCCATTGATATTTCAAACACAATTATCAGTGCTACAGCACCACCTACAGGAATGCACAAAATTTACTACGAGGAGAAACAAAATTTATTTCACGTTCATTCGTGAAACTTTGCAGAACATCCTGATCATAAAAGTTGATGAGACCTATGCCCTACTTTTTACAATTTTCCCTCTAGAATCATTCACATTTAAGAATTTTAAAGGTGCACTATGTAAGTTTTCTGGTGGAGGGTGTGTTTTTATGCACTATCTTAGTCTGACAGTGCTCTTGTTCATAAAAGTCACGTAACCTGTGGCCTAGTGTCTATAGGTTGCCTCTAGAATCTTTCACATTATCCAATATTAAAGGTACACTATGTAATTTTTCTGGTGGATGAACTGTTGGACTGAGCGGCTGTGAGGAAGAAAGGATGACGTGCCAGGGCGTTCGCAAGTTCTCGGAGGTTGCATGGGATGGGGTGTGCGCACCGGGGCGAGGGCCATCATCGCTGCGAGGAGCTTTAATTTTACATTGAGAATCTGGTGTGTTTTCAAAGTGCTGTAATTAGTTTTTTTTAGTTTTTTTTTAGCAGTGTATTTACATGGAATCATAATAAAAGAAGAGTTAAAGCTATACACAAATCATACAAGCAAATAAAAATGTGGATGTATTGTTCAGTGTTCATAACAGATGATTCAGATCAGAACAGATGATCGTGTTATTTATGCATTCTACATGTTTTTTTTTTTTCTCAGTGAATGCTCCTCTTTGTGCTTGGCTCTTTTTCAGGGTACTGAAGATGGGCACGCTGGGCTGGTACCATGATAATGTCCGTAACCGTTTCAAGCGATTTGGAAGTGCCAAAGTCATGAGATCTCTGTACAAAAGGCTGAATGGAGATGGTAAGTGTCTTCTTGTTTACTTGGACCAGTTATTGTGCATGACCCCATCTGGCCAGCTGTAAATCAAGTAGATCTAATATGAGGCGTATCTTCTCAGGCCGGGATGATGACACACAAAGCATGCCTGATTTCCGCTCAAGTGAGTCACAAATAGCTCTATCCAGACTGTTCTCATAAGAATCTAGAATCTTACATAGAGTTCCTTTAAATGCCAGATTTGTACAATTTAATTGATGAGGAGTATGCAGACACAGAGGCTCAGAGATACAAAGCGGTGAGTGTCTCGTGCTTAACCTTTCTCTTTTTCACAACTTTCAAAAAGATGTTCAGAGTTATCTATGTCTCATGTTCCTGTGTGCCCAGATGAGGAAGAATAAACGTTTGCTTTCTGTTCATCCTATGGACTTTGACTCAGAGGAGTACTTCTCCTATTCACGCCGCCCCTCAGTTCAGGTAGGGCACTTACGCCTATGCATGCTTACTGTGATACAGCTTTGGCTTTTGATAATGGTAAAGGGTGACATTTCCCAGTCATTTTATTATAAGTTTCATTATAGTACCCGTGCTTCTGTCATCTTCCTGAAGCATACAGGGAGCCAGTGCAGTGATTTTAAAACTGGTGTAATATGGTCCCACTCCCTGGTCTTAGCAAGGACATGTGCTGCTGAATTTTGTAATAACTGTAAACCTGAAATATTATTTTTGGGAAGACTGGAGAGCAGGGCATTAGAGTAGTTGATTTGACTAGTGATTAAAAAAAACAAAACATGCATCAGTTTCTCCCTGTTGGCCCAAGAAAGAATGGAGTGAACTCTACCTGTCTAGGTGATAAAAAAAACTATTTTGTGATGTTCTTAATACTGTATGTGAGATAAAAGTTAGCTCAGAGTCAAAAATGGCACCAGGTTTAAAAGACTGCTTGTAGTTTGGTTAAAATTTCTCACTCTGGGCCTCATGAACGATGATTAAAACCTCACTTCTGTCCTGGTTAACCTGGAGAAAGTTTGCTACTATCCAGCATTTGATATCTAGAATGCATTTTGCAAAATGCATTTGTGTGCTCTGAAAATGAGTGACTCCCCATTAATGAAATAACGGTGTCTTTGCAGCTAATGCAGGAGGATCGCAGTTACATGGACTATGACGTTTATGGGCACCGCACACATCGGCGGAAGAGTCTGGATCGGCACAACATGAGAGCAGGTTTGTGCCAGATGAGGGGCAGGAGACGTGAGTGACTCAGGGAGTGAACCTCTTCTCTCTGCTTTTAGATGATTATGGTGACAACCGCATGGTTCGCACTCGTTCTCTGTCCAAGATTTCTGCTGTGGCACGGCAGCAGTATGTGGACACATCGGATGAAGAGGACCAGCGCTTCCCAGTTCACGGAGTGTACCGCCGTAGGAACAGTCGTGGCTTCCAGGAACAAGCCCCACCTGTAAGATCCATAGGAGGTCCATAAGAGGTTTACCTTATAGGTTCAGTGTATAAAGGATGCAGTGATGATCAAAAGAGGCAGAGACAGATATAAATTTTATAAATAAATTATTTATTAACCGCCAGTTTAAGAAATTATATCATTTATTGTTATTTGGTCTATAAATACCGATCTAGCTAAAAGGACATCTTAAATCACCAGTTTAGGAAAAATAGGTCATTGATTATTTATTCTATAGATCATAAGATGGCTAAAAGGGTTATCTTTCCCAAAGAGAGAAAGCTAAAATGTTAAAATACTCAGGGCTAGCAGGCAGCGGACGCACGTGGCAGAGGCCCAAGCTTAGGAGATCGAGCACACACACACACACGCACACACACACGCACACACACACAAACACACACACACAATTGACTAGGACAACTAAAACATGCAAATATGTGAAGGAAAGTGCAAAAAATACCACAGCACACGAGGAGTGATACAGTGAAGAGAGAGACCCGACCACCAACCATCCACCAGACGGGCGCCCACGTCCAACCAGCCCTAGTGCAAAGAAAACAAAAGATACAACCAAAAAGATACAAATGAGGGTAACAAACAAATAAACATGAACCCAATATACACAAATTATATCCAAACCTAACTAACGCAAAAGATCCAAATAAAACAGCAGCCAGCAGCCTCTACAAAACACAAAACATTAAAAACCCACAGAACGAAATGAACGAATGAACGAGAATGAAAAGTAATCAAAACAAACTTAAATTACCTAACAGAAAGGTAAAATGAATATGTTAAAAAGGTGCCCTCCAAGGCAGACACATCATTTGACCAGCTGCAGCGTCTACAACAAACAACAAACAAACAAACAAACAGGAACCCAATTAACGAACCAGTAAAGAAACATTTGGTAAAAGAGGGAACATACCAAGTTTATAGCATAATGCTGAGAAAAACCGGAGAGCAGGTAGACTGGAGCAAAGAGCAGCCTACCACTAACGTGAGCTACGGGGCTTAAATGCCCAGCGGCAACCCGGAAGTGTAGGGCGCCAGCAGTCACGTGATACGGTGCCCCACAGGGGGGCAACCGCAAATCGGTCACACAATATACATTTAGAAGAGTTGTGCAAACATCCAAGATAACCATTCATATTCTTGTGTCATGATTTATGCATTAATTCTTGAAACAATTAAGAAGTTGAAACAGGAGAATGTTTCAACGAGCCAGCTCCTAGCTCCTAACACATATAGGCCGGGAGCCAGGTCCACCCCTCAGGATGTTTTTTGCTACCTTTTTTTCAGTATTATTTCCTGTTATATTATATCTTGGGCCATAACGAGTTGATAGGGACCAACCCCAACTTGGCCCCGTTTGGTCTCAGGGCCCAAAAAACACACTTTTTAAGAAAAGCTATTTGCGAAATTATGTAACTGTAAATATTAAGGTATTGAAACCGCATACATGGTCAAATAACCCTAAAATTTGGCATGGTGTATCCTGACACATGGGGGAAACTAGCAGAAAAATATTTTGGGGCTTGTTGCCTTTCTACTGTCAAATATCACTCTCAACATATCCTAAAAGACTAAAAAATGTCTGTCCGCCTGACAAATTGTCATCAAAAGTGATCATTTTCAAGCATTTTATTGCATATATCACTGCCTCAAATGTACATAACAAACTTCCCATGTTCATAAGCTTCAATTTAAGCCCAAGACGACCTTTGTATCTAGAGGGAAACACCTGCTATGACCAAAGTTCTTCACTGTACCTCAAATCGGCAGAAGGCAGAACTTTCAGGCTTTACCATTACTTATGGGATCAAGCAGGATTTTTTTAATAGAAACAATATTTGAAAAGAGTTGACTTAAGTACTGCTGTACTATATGAAGTGAATTACATTAAAAGTGAATAATATTAATTACATTAATAGTGAATAATATTAAAACTCAAGGTCAGAGTGCAAGATAAAACTATGGTAACCAGGTTACACATACAAACACACACAACCAACCAACATCCTGACCCTTCATGCAACATCCCATCAAAAGTTATTTTCCAAAGACAATTGTGAGAGAAGCTGATAATTTTTTCTGGTTATAAGAAGAGATTGAGTCTATTGGGAGATTGGTGTCCTTTTCTAGGCGTCCACGACTCCTAGCCTGAACATTAACTATTGTCAGATTGTGAGATAACAACCAACCAAAGTAGATGTGGGAGACAAAGTATGGTGTGTGTGCATGTGTGTGTGTGTGTGCATGCACATGTCTGTGCATGTGTGTGCGTACACATGTCTGTGTGTGTGTGTGCTTGCACATGTCTGTGTATGTGTGTGCGTGCACATGTCTGTGCCTGTTTTCATCAATAAGATCAGTTAAGTGTCTGTTTGAGGCTAAACTTCAATGAAATTGGAAACATTGAGTCTCAGTTCATGTATATTTACACATTGAATACTGCACATTATTTCATTGTTGTAATGAATAAATACACTGATTTTCAGATGGGTGTAATGCAACAATATACTATTGAAAGCAGACAACATGCCAAAGAAACGACAAAATGATGAACTGGACAGCTGGTCAGAGTTCTTCAAAGCAGAAACCTCCACCTCAGCATCTCTGCAAAACTACAGCCTACATGGTTACAAGGGACAGTAAATGACAAGTTCATACTTTTGTCTTCTAAGACTGATCCACTGAGTGCATTTACTGCGATCCATAATATAAAAAAGAAACTTCGCACACAAACATTTGATTGTGCTGGTTAGCAAGATGTTGTTGAATCAGTTACTGATGAATTGTCTTTGGATTGTGACTACCATAAAAGCTGCCAACACATGTTTTTTCCAAAATGCTAACAATGCTTTAAGCAAGTGAAGAAAATTTCTCAATGAGATAGAAACATGAGCTTGTGGATTCTTTAGTTTTGTTCAGGAGTTACTGCATATTCTGCAGTAATAGTGCAGTGAAGTAAGTGTCCGGGAAGAGATATATATAGCTTCCAATCAAGTGTATACAAAAATTTTGAGAAAAAAGCTCTGGAACTCAGTGATGAAGACCTGCTGTGAACAGGAGGAGTTGATCTTTTTGCCAATGAGGCAAGTTTCATGAATGTTGTCACAAACAGTACATGGTAACACAAGCACCCAGTCTGACCATTTTTTGTCTGAGGTTATGACTAGTGATGTCAGCAACAGTCACTTCTCTGAATTCTGTGAAAGCTGTGAGATGAGCAAGTTTAACAACCTGACCCTTTTCCATAACTTCAGTTTCTATCTGGTCATGCACCCAACTAAAAGCTTTACTGATCAGTGCCTTCTTTGTAGCTGTTTCAGACTCTGCAGCTGAAGTGTCAAACTCACATTTCTGTCTCATGGAGACATTCTCTGCTTGACACATATTATTATTATTATTATTATTATTATTATTATTATTATTATTATTATTATTATTAATAAAGGTGGTTTTAAAGAGGTCTTGTTCACGAGTGAGGTGAGGATAGAGCATGAGATTGACAGGCGGATCGGTGCAGCGTCTGCAGTGATGCGGTCACTGTATCGGACCGTTGTGGTGAAGCGGGAGCTGAGCCGAAAGGCGAAGCTCTCGATTTACTGGTCAGTCTTCGTTCCTACTCTCACCTATGGTCATGAGCTCTGGGTAGTGACCGAAAAGACGAGATTGCGGATACAAGCGCTTGAAATTAGTTTCCTCCGCAGGGTGGCTGGGTGCTCCCTTAGAGATAGGGTGAGGAGCTCAGTCACACGGGAGGAGCTCAGAGTAGAGCTGCTGCTCCTCCACGTCGAGAGGAGCCAGTTGAGGTGGCTCGGGCATCTGTTCTAGATGCCTCCTGGGCGTCTCCCTCGGGAGGTGTTCTGGGCATGTCCCACCGGGAGGAGGCCCCGAGGAAGACCCAGGACACGCTGGAGGGACTATGTCTCTCGGCTGGCCTGGGAACGCCTCGGGGTCCCCCTGGAGGAGCCGGAGGACGTGTCTGGGGTGAGGGAAGTCTGGGAGTCCCTGCTTAGGCTGCTGCCCCCACGACCCGGCCCCGGTTAAGCGGACGAAAATGGATGGATGGATGGGTTTTAAAGAGATGTTTTTTAGGGCTTTTTTTTTTAAACATGGGGAGTGTGGACGAGTCTCTGATGTGTTTGGGGAGGGAGTTCCAGAGGGTGGGGACAGCAGTGGAGAAGGCCCTGTCCCCACAGGTCTTATGTTTCGTCCTGCTAGGGGGACACAAGAGGTTGGCGTCAGCTGATAAGAGGACATGGGTCGGGGTGTGGTGGTGGAGGAGCTCAGAGAAGCAGGTGGAGGCCAGATTATGGAGGGACTTGTACACAGTGGTGAGGAGTTAGAATTGGATGCTCTGAGGGATGGGGATCTGTTTTGTCGCAGCTGAGTTGGAGGAAGTTTGACTTTATTTTGGAGATGCAGTTTGTGAGGGTGGAATGTGTGGCTGGGGTTATGGATTTGGTGAACAGGCAGAGTCCATGTCATCTGCAAAGCAATGGAACTGGAGGCTGTGGGGAAGGATTATATGACCAAGGTTTAGGATGAAGAGAAAGGGTCTCCAACCTTTTTTCACTGGTAAGCCTTTACAAAACAAAAATGCCAAAGAGCTACTTATTTTAACAGTTGCAAGAAATGTAGTAAATATAAGAGTCACAGCCTTAGATTAGGGACAGTTAGATAGATAACATATAAACCATTATTCATTTATTAGTGCACAAAACTGGCCATTAATATCGTAGATTTACAATGGTAATTAATCAAATTGTACTTATTCAGCACAATACATATAATTCAACAATACCTTGGTGAGCTATTTGAAATGGGGTGGAGAACTACTGGTAGCTCCTGAGCTACAGGTTGGAGACCCCTGATGTAGAGTATGAAGAGTAGGGGGCCGAGAATTTGAACCAACCAATTGCTTAAAGCACGGTTAGCATTTTGGAAGAACAGTAAATGCACTCAGTGGATCAGTCTTAGAAGACAAA